ATATAAATTCACTAGAGTCGGTGCATCTAAGAATGACAAAAATGATTCCGGGACTTAGAAACCTTCCATATCAGGATAGGTTAAAGAAACTTAACTTGCATTCCCAAGAAAGACGAAGAGTGCGGGGAGATATGATAGAAGTATTTAAGTGGGTGAAAGGAATCAATAAAGGGAATATAGACAAAGTTCTTATAATATCCGAGCAGGATAGGACTCGGAGCAACGGATTCAAGTTGGATAAGTTTAGGTTTAGGAAGGAGATAGGAAGAAACTGGTTCACAAATAGGGTGGTGGACGAGTGGAACAAGCTTAGCAACTTTGTAGTAAGTGCGGAAACTCTGGAAAGTTTCAAAAGGAGACTAGATAGAGTCATGGATGATAGAGAGTGGTAGTAACTCTCGATAGGAGCTGCCATGCACAGGCCAACCGGCCTATTGCAGACTCCTTATTTTCTTATGTTCTTATGTAAAAAAATGCGCTGCCTGTGGCGGCCCACATTCCTCCGCCGATCGGACCTGCCCGAAATGGAAGGAAGAATGCAGGATAGCCAAGGCTCGACTCGACAAGAAACTGAGCTACAAAGAGGCCCTCCTTGCTGTACGCTCCCAAGGCAAGAAAAAACCAGCAGAAAAGAAAAACCAAGTAAAGAAAACCCAAGAAAAGAAAACTCAAGAAAAGACACCAGCCACACAGAATCAAGAACACCACGAGGCCCGTGGAGCTGAAGCCCACGTGGTCAACCTCACTGTCTCCGACTTCTTCCACACCTATGAGGACATAAGACACGAGGAAGACGAACAACAAGACCCAAACACGAATGAATGGACACTTCAAGAGAGCAAGAAAAGGAGGAGAGTTAGAAGAAAATCTACATCAAGCTAAGAAGAATACCAAGACATTTCCTCCACACAAGAAAACAACACACACAATCAAGCCGACCAAGCACTGAGAATCCATGGCCCAACCCAACACGCACCTGACGCTTGACCTGACGCTAGCCTGACTCTGTCCTGCCGCCGCCTGGCCGCGTCCGGGCGAGTTGCTGCTACCTCCTATACTGCCAGATCTGGGGTCACTAAATCTAAGGGGATAATTTAACTCTAATCTTAATGTCTAAGGGTCGCTGCCACCAGACCCCCTCTGGACAGCATGTAGCTCGTTAGGTAGCGGGCAGAGTGGACTAGGCATTGGGTTAGGTTTTCCATTGACCAGATCGATGAGGGTAAAGAAGGGGGAAACCATAACATGTCTTAATTGATTTATTCCTTATAAAACATACTGGTAAAAAAACATACATGAATTGGCCTTCCTCAGAAGAACAACGGAATTGTGGTTACCCAGCTGGGCCCCAGACTCTTACATTACTGGCGGGTCATCCACCCACTTATTGCATAACAATCGGTGAACGCCGTATCTCGGTCGTTCCTTCTTACAATATCCCTTAACACATCAGACTGGTCCACTGGTGTGGCTTGTAGCACCGTCGGTTATCATATATAGTAGCACCATCTCAACACACCTGTTACACTCCATACCTGCAAGTATGTGACTCCTTGTGACTTTTAGGTATACACAACGGGCACCTCGTTCGCACACCGCCCTCGGTGGGTAAAGACGAGGGCTTCACCTAGAGACATACCAGCACTATTTCTACGCCTGGTATTATAGGTCGCTCCAAGTGACGACCGCAGTTTCTCACGGTCTCCTTAGTTGTGACTATTCATGTGGAGTGGTGCGCTGGGAATCCACAGGTTCACAGTGGACTGGTATAGTGGGGAGTAATTCCCCACCGGTTGTGGCGCTCAAGGAGACAATGGCGGCCGGGCGGCAAGATACCCCGACCACGTGGCACCTGCGGTGACGGCAGAACGGGAAAGACTAAGAAATAATGCCTGACGGGCGGTTATCCCACCCCTTAACACATCCCTATCACACTTATATATCCGGCAAAGCTTTAAACTGTAGTAACTGCTATTTATCAACCTTAATTGTAGGGCGGGATATAGCCCGCTAGGACACTGACCTGTGGTGACGGCAGAACGGGAAAGACTAAGGCCGGCTTCCCGCCGCTTCTCGTCACATAGGCCTACAGTTTCCAATCCTCAATTTACACTTTTGTTTCCTATGGTTCTCACCTGAACACTTTACGGTATATTGTCACTCATTTCTTATAAACACATATATTAATCCTAAATTACACACTAAGGTCAGGTCTTGGTTTGCTAGTGCTTGGTTAAATGCCTGGGATTTTAATATCAACGGGGCATCTGAGGCGGGTACATGACGCGCCTTGAAACAAAAGCCGAATGATCATGGCGGGGGTGTATCAACTTCACTTAAAAACTGTAATGAGGGATCCTCCTCTCACACATTGCACTATTTGAACACAGACATAAGATTCTCTGATCACTGTACCTGTCGTGGGTATATGTCACGTGAGGCTACGAGGTGTATTAAGTTCATACCGACGCATACACGATATTTCCTTTCCAGTATAGTTTCTAGATCACTGTCAACACCTCACATAGTTCTGATACATTTATCCTTTTTCCAGATCATTGTTCTCATGTATTTTTCATATGATATCTGTTGGGGTTATGTTCGCTCCACGCTCACAGACGTAAATAGTAGGACCTTCAAACCCTGCTCCACACTTAGTCTTACAGTACCCTAGTCCGGCTCAACTGGGACTTTAACATTCATCTTATGCCTACCCTGAGTGATCCTTACTGCTATGAATACATACACGTGATATGATATAACTATACCTGGGTACAATACAACCCAGGGTCTAGGAACCTTGAGTAGGTGAGTTGTCCTTTCTCAATGTTTCCCGTTTTCTGAGGTTCTACAAGCGCGGTGCATTTGAATGTTATGTAGCGTAATATGAATTAGATGGGATTTTTAGGGATGACAATGATGTGCGCAGTACACTCCAACTTATACTCCCTCACGCAAGCGGTGTTTAGCCACTGCACCTATTCTCTCCTCCTAAAATTCACTTCAATCCTCCCTTTATTCTTCCCCTGAACCTCCTTCCCCCCTGTCACTAGCTTTTCATGTTCATGTTCTCTAACCCCAGCACTCTCTAACCCTCTCTCACCATGAACGGTTACGAGTTTGATAACGTGGCGCGGATACGTCCGGATACGCCGACCTGCCTCAAGAAATTAAACCTCCTAGTTCTCAAGAAGTTCTTTGAAACTAATGAGATCGTGGGGGTCACCAAGGTGGAACGACTGAAGCTCCGTGGTGACATCAAGATCACCTTCACCGAGAAGGGTATGCCCGTACAGCTCGCGGAGATCCCAGACATCAACGGCATTCCATTTAAAATGATTGCCTACAAGTGGGACAACCTGAAGCTGGGAGTAATCTCCCACGCCGAAATTGCCCACGTGGACCAAGCAGAGCTGAGTGAGCGCCTCAAGGGGCAACTCCAAGTTGCGAAGAAGCTGTCCGACACCACTGCCCTCATCAGACACCATACAACCTTACCCAAGGAGGCTCAACTGGCGTGGGTAACTGTGCCAGTCAAGCCCTACTGCAGACCGAAACGTTGTTACAAATGCCAGCACTACGGACACTGTCAACAAGTGTGAGGCGCAGGAGGACACCTGCTCCCTGTGCGGCAGCCCCGGACACCGCTACACGGTCTGCCCCAACACAGTAAAAAAATGCGCTGGCTGTGGCGGCCCACATTCCTCCGCCGATCGGACCTGCCCGAAATGGAAGGAGGAATGCAGGATAGCCAAGGCTCGACTCGACAAGAAACTGAGCTACAAAGAGACCCTCCTTGATGTACGCTCCCAAGACAAGAAAAAACCAGTAGAAAAGAAAAACCAAGAAAAGAAAACTCAAGAAAAGACACCCACCACACAGAATCAAGAACACCACGAGGCCCGTGGAGCTGAAGCCCACGTGGTCAACCTCACCGTCTCCGACTTCTTCCACACCTATGAGGACATAAGACACGAGGAAGACGAACAACAAGACCCAAACACGAATGAATGGACACTTCAAGAGAGCAAGAAAAGGAGGAGAGTTAGAAGAAAATCAACATCAAGCTAAGAAGAATACCAAGACATCTCCTCTACACAAGAAAACAATACACACAATCAAGCCGACCAAGCACTGAGAAACCATGGCCCAACCCAACACGCACCTCACCTGACCTGGCGCTAGCCTGACTCTGTCCTGCCGCCTCCTAGCCGCGTCCGGGCGAGTTGCTGCTGCCTCCAACTTATACTCCCTCACGCAAGCGGTGTTTAGTCACTGCACCTATTCTCTCCTCCTCAAATTCACTTCACTCCTCCCGGTATCCTTCCCCTGATCCTCCTTCCCCCCTGTCACTAGCATTTCATGTTCATGTTCATGGCTGTACGCTGATTGGCTGGTAGGCGCGCGGCCGGAGCTCAGTTGGGAGTTGTTGGGGAGAGGAGCCACTACAATAGATTATGAATCTGACGCCGCGAACATTCCTGTGACAGTAGATGAAGAGCTACTTCAGATGATTGACACTGGACATTAAAGATATAACAAAGTAACAAAGAACAGACCAATTACCCGAACAGCTAGTAAAAGCTGGTAAATGGTGCAATGATAATTAAATACTCATACAAGACCCATATGTAGAGAGATAGATTTTGCAAAATTGTCATACAAGTTCACATTTGTTCACAGGCAATACAAATAATAAAAGAAGTGCATTGAGCAAGTCAATTTAACAAAAGATAGTCCAAAAAAATTCTTAGAAGCTTATTAATGGCTTTCTTGGCCATATAGCCTTATCGCTTACCATTGTATATTTGCACTGACTACATTCATATTAAGCCAATGTGAACTTGTATGTCGACTTCACAGAACAAACGTGTATTTATATAATCTAATCATTCATCTATCTATTGTATTTAATAAAATACAGAAACTACAAACTAGAACCAATGAAAATCTCTTGTCAAAGAAAACGTTTGAGAAACATAGTGACTTAACCGCTTAAATGGTCAGCCAAAACAACACATAGTCAAGATCTTACAAATAATACAAGAGGAAGTGCAAAATAATCCGAAGACACCGTGTTAATTGTCCAAAATAAAATAAGATAAATAATTTAAGAACTGCGAGAACTTAAAGATCAAGAGACTGTTGAATTTGGAAGTCTTTGATTTAAGTTTAGTACTGCACATTAAGTGTGCAAGAACTCCGTCAAAATGGTAAGTGTTTCCTTGTCCATGACGGTTCATTAATTAGACTGCGATTAGCTGTTATTTTTTCAATTCTACCAAAAAAGCACGGGAAAACAAATGCTGGAGCTTTGCTTAGCGTAACCCATACACAATGAGCAGTTTAAAAAATGTTCATGCAATTTTTAAATCACATCTCATTTATTGTTCAAATTTCACTATTGCTCATGGTAGTATTTAAGGAGGTGCTACTTGACGAAAGTGGTCTGGCCGTAGCACCAACATGAGGAAATTTCCCCATAGAAGTTACTGTGAAAAGCCTTCTTACCTGAAGAAAATTATAAAATTTTCTGCCAAGGTTGTCTAATCATGAAACTTTCACTTCACACAGGAGTGTTCAATTAAAAATTAATAATACTTTTGTATTTTTATTTGAACAGGGCGAGCGTAAAGGTGTCAACAAGTATTATCCACCTGACTATGATCCAAGTAAGGGAGGCCTCAATAAATTTCAGGGCACTCATGCTCTACGAGAGCGTGCCCGGAAATTACACCTTGGCATCTTAATAATTCGCTTTGAGATGCCATACAACATATGGTGTGAAGGTTGCAACAATCACATAGGAACAGGAGTAAGGTAGGTTGCATTTTTTATTTATACAATAATAAATTATAAATATTGGAAATAAAGTACAGTACAGCACTGTATAGGAGTAAGACAAAATGCTTCGCTCTTTCTCTCCCAATATTTTATAATTACAATTCAATATTTTTTTTTTCATGCTCACTTTTCCTGGTGAACCTTTTCAGTGATGAGAATCTGCATAAGCACTTTGCTGCCTTATTGTACCTCATATTTCTAATAATTTTAAAGAAAAGATAATTTTTTTTTACATTAGATGGCCAATTTGTAATACAAATCAATATACAGTATAGGGTGTTCATAAAGTCACACATCATAGGAAAATACTGTACATTTATTATAAAGATAATTACTTTATTTGTTCAAAATGATTCTCAGCAATCTCAAAACATGTGTTTAAACCTAAAGTAGATTTATTTGAATGTTCCTCATCATTTCTGGTGTGATGGAGCAGACTTCATCTTGAATTCATTATTTTAGGTGTTTAAAATCTGTTATCTTCATCAAATAAATTCATAATTTTAAATACCCCTAGAGATTTTGGTGACCATGTCACCGCTCCTCTTCTACCGATCCCCCTAGTATTGTCCTATGATGCCTAACTTTATGGACACCCTGTGAAGAGAGGTAGTATTTTGAGAAGCCCCTTCATTTGTCACTTTAGTCTAAATTTGGAATGCAAAAAATAGCTTAGAGAGTAGATACCTATACAGGGTGTCCATGTTATAAGTATGCTTGGTAATTTTATACTGTACCCACTTATACGATTACTGTACAGTACATAGTAGTTTTTACCACCACTATTTTTTTAACTCTCGTGCCATACTTGCTTATTCGTTTACTGTAATCCTGGATTATTAGAGTATTTCATATTCTCACCTTCAACAATTCAAGGGAGGTAATAAAATATTAAATATTACTGTACAGTACAGTAATTTGAAATGCTTACAGTAAACCCTCATTTAACTGACCTATATATGGGGAGGGGTGGGTTGGAAAAGCCGAAAAGTTGGATAATCGAGGTACTGTACAAAAAATTTAAAATATGTATGAAAATGATAAATCTATTACATTTATCAAAATTAGATACGAAGGTGCTCAGCTGTGTAAGCGACCAGCATGGGTGCCATATTTGTTATTGTTTGGTGGTTGGTTGATGCTCCAACAACATTCACTTAAAATCCAGTTACAAATTTATTTGAGACCCTAGAACAATGAGTGCTAAACATGCATTATGCACCACTACAGCTTGTGGTCACAAAAAGAAGAGGAAAAGTGTCACATCAAAAGTTAAATTAGATGTGGTAAAGATATTTGAAGGACAGTGAGTTGCGGATATAGCAAGATCTGTCAGTTTGCAGCTTACAACTGTAGGTAAGAATAATTCGTGGAAATTTTTGGGTCGGTTATTGCAGGGGTCGGTTAAACGAGGGTTTACTTGACTGTAGCTACCTGTACTAAGAGAGCTCAGGCTCTCATTTGGCTCAGCCATGCCAATATTGTTTTTATTATCCACTTTGTATTTGTATTTTTCTTGCTAAATAAACTTTCAATATCAATGTACCGTATGTATTGTATCTGCTAGCAGATGACTTTCTCACTTGGGCTGCCATCTATTGGGGGCTGAAGGAACTACAGTATGTTTACATGAGCTAGTCGACTGGCATTGTTTGATACTTATTTATTAAACCTTTAAAAACTGCTCCACTGCATATGTAACCCTACACTGCAGGGCTCATCTGAGTCAGTCATGGAGTTATAAACAGCAAGCACAGTTACACATTCCTCCTGCCTGCATACGTATACAGTTCTGGTAACTTTTATTTAATACATACTGTATATATATAATGTGATTATTAGAATCGGTTTTATTTTTTCAGGACAGTATTGATATGATTAGTACAGGTTTCTGTGTTTTTTTATTTCAGATTAACCGACAAATGTAACCCCTTATTACATTTATTTATAGGTAAACCTCTATTTACAATGTCTCAATCTACTATAAATTCATGTTAACGATGCTGATATATTAAGACCACTTCCCCCATTTGCAATGTAAACAAACTCGCATTAACGATATTCGTCATCCCGCCAACATGCCAAGTCAGCATGTGGAATTCATCTCTCACTTCATTTGTCAGCTGAGGCATCATCTATCCAAATGCTGCCTCATGGCCATCTGCTGAACTACAATCCAGGCATTGTTTCTTCTTGGTTACATGTGTGTGTGTAAGAAATAGAGCTCAATGATTTTCGGCCATCATTTTTTTTCCAGCATAGATTTTTTGTTTTTTTGTTTTTATGCCTTACAGTGAGAGGACATCAATAAAGTTCTTGTTGTATACTCTGTTTTAATGACTGATGTGATTTTTGCTATGTGTTTTCTTTTTTTTTTTTACTGAAAAGTGCTTTGGTTGTGTTGTTGTGAACATGAGGTGAGCAGCAGCAACCTGTATCATTATTTTTATGTTATCAGTGGCTTTTCTCGTAGGGATACAGGAAATTACAATGTTTCACAGTGTACTGTACTATACTGTACAGGTACAGTTACATGTAATGTACTCAGTTTTAGTGACTGAGGTGCTTCTGTTCTGACTGTGAGGTGCTTTTGTTCTGACTGAGAAGTGCTTTGGTGGCTGTGAGGAGCTTTTGTTCTGACTGTGAGGTGCTTTTGTTCTGACTGGGAAGTGCTTTAGTGACTGTGAGGTGCTTTTGTTCTGACTGTGAGGAGCTTTTGTTCTGACTGTGAGGTGCTTTTGTTCTGACTGGGAAGTGCTTTAGTGACTGTGAGGTGCTTTTGTTCTGACTGTGAGGAGCTTTTGTTCTGATTTTGAGGAGCTTTTGTTCTGACTGAAGTGATTTAGTGACTGTGAGGAGCTTTTGTTCTGACTGTGAAGTGTTTTAGAGACTGTGAGGTGCTTTAGTGACTGAGGTGCTTTTGTTCTGACTGGGAAGTGCTTTAGTGACTGTGAAGTGCTTTAGATACTGTGAAGTGCTTTAGTGACTGTGAAGTGCTTTAGTGACTGTGAAGTGCTTTAGAGACTGTGAAGTGCTTTAGTGACTGTGAAGTGCTTTAGTGACTGTGAAGTGCTTTAGTAACAGTGAAGTGCTTTAGTGACAGTGAAGTGCTTTAGTGATTGTGAAGTGCTTTAGAGACTGTGAAGTGCTTTAGAGACTGTGAAGTGCTTTAGAGACTGTGAAGTGCTTTAGTGACTGTGAAGTGCTTTAGTGACTGTGAGGTGCTTTAGTGACTGTGAGGTTCTTAATGACTGTGAGGTGCTTTAGTGACTGTGAAGTGCTTTAGTGACTGTGAAGTGCTTTAGTGACTGTGAAGTGCTTTAGTGACTGTGAAGTGCTTTAGTGACTGTGAAGTTCTTTAGTGACTGTGAAGTGCTTTAGTGACTGTGAAGTGCTTTAGTGACTGTGAAGTTCTTTAGTGACTGTGAAGTGCTTTAGTGACTGTGAAGTGCTTTAGTGACTGTGAGGTGCTTTAGTGACTGTGAAGTGCTTTAGTGACTGTGAAGTGTTTTAGTGACTGTGAACTGTGAAGTGCTTTAGTGACTGTGAAGTGCTTTAGTGACTGTGAAGTGCTTTAGTGACTGTGAGGTGCTTTAGTGACTGTGAGGTGCTTTAGTGACTGTGAGGTGCTTTAGTGACTGTGAGGTGCTTTAGTGACTGTGAGGTGCTTTAGTGACTGTGAGGTGCTTTAGTGACTGTGAGGTGCTTAGTGACTGTGGGAGGTTCTCTTTAGCACTGGGGAGGTGTTTTAGTGACTGCGAAGTGCTTTTAGTGACTGTGAAGCGTTTAGTGACTGTGAGGTTCTTTAGTGACTGTGAGGTGTTTTTAGTGGACTGTGAAGTGCTTTTTAGTGACTGTGAGGTTCTTTAGTGACTGTGAAGTGCTTTAGTGACTGTGAGGTGTTTTAGTGACTGTGAAGTGCTTTAGAGACTGTGAAGTGCTTTAGTGACTGTGAAGTGCTTTAGTGACTGTGAAGTGCTTTAGTGACAGTGAAGTGCTTTAGTGATTGTGTGGAAGTGCTTTTTAGACTGTGAAGTGCTTTAGTGACTGGGTGAAGTGCTTTTAGTGACTGTGAAGTGCTTTTAGTGACTGGAGGTGCTTTCAGTGACTGTGAGGTGCTTCTTTAGTGACTGTGAAGTGCTTAGTGATCAGAGGTGCTTAGTGACTGTGAGGTTCTGAGACTGTGAAAGCGCTTTTAGTGACTGTGAAGCGCTTAGTGACTGTGAGGTTCTTTAGTGACTGTGAAGTGCTTTAGTGACTGTGGAAGTGCTTTAGTGACTGTGAGGTGCTTTAGTGACTGTGAGGTGCTTTAGTGACTGTGAGTGTTCTTTTAGTGACTGTGAAGTGCTTTTAGTGACTGTGAGGTGTTTTTAGTGACTGTGGAAGTGCTTTAGTGACTGTGAGGTGTTTTAGTGACTGGTGAAGTGCTTGAAGACTGTAAGGCTTTAGTGACTGAGATAGTTCTTTAGTGACTGTGAGGTGTTTTTAGTGACTGCGAAGTGCTTTAGTGACTGTGAGGTGTTTTAGTGACTGTGAAGTGCTTAGTGACTGTAAGGCTCTTAGTGTCTGAGAGGTTCTTTAGTGACTGAGAGGTTCTTTTAGTGACTGTGAAGTGCTTTTAAAGACTGTGAGGTGCTTTTAATGACTGTGAAGTGCTTTAGTGACTGTGAAGTGCTTTTTAGTGACTGTGGAGGCTCTTTAGTGACTGAGAGGTTCTTAGTGACTGTGAAGTGCTTTAGTGACTGTGGAGGTGCTCTAGTGAATGTGGGAGGTTTAGTGACTGTGAGGTTCTTAGTGACTGTGAAGTGCTTTAGTGACTGCAGGTGCTCTAGAAAGACTGGGTGAGGTGCTTAGTGACTGTGAGTACTTTTAGTGACTGTGAAGTGCTTTTTAGTGACTGTGAGGTGTTTTAGTGACTGTGAAGTGCTTTAGTGACTGTGAAGTGCTTTAGTGACTGTGAAGTGCTTTAGTGACTGTGAAGTGCTTTAGTGACTGTGAAGTGCTTAGTGACTGTAAGGCTTCTTTTAGTGACTGAGAGTGTTCTTAGTGACTGTGAAGTGCTTAGGGTGATCAGGAGGTGTTTTAGTGACTGTGAAGTGCTTTAGTACTGTGAAGTGCTTTTAGTGAAGTGCTTAGCAACTGTGAAGTGTTTTAGTGACTGTGAAGCGCTTTAGTGACTGTAAGGCTCTTTAGTGACAGAGGTTCTTATGACTGGGTGTGAAGTGCTTAGTGACTGTGGAGAAGCCGAAGTGACTGTGAAGTAAGCCAGTGAATGTGGAAGTGCTTTAGTGATCAGGGAGGTGCTTTAGTGACTGTGGGAGGTGCTTTTAGTGACTGGGGAGGTTCTTTAGTGACCGTGAAGTGCTTTAGCGACTGTGAGGTAAGTGAAGTGACTGCGAAGCGCTTTTAGTGACTGTGAAGTGCTTTAGTGACTGGTGAAGCGCGCTTTAGTGACTGTAAGGTTTCTTTAGTGACTGAGAGGTTCTTTAGTGACTGTGAGGTGCTTTAGTGACTGTGGGAGGTTCTTTAGTGACTGTGAAGCGCTTTAGTGACTGTGAGGTGTTTTAGTGACTGTGAAGTGCTTAGTACTGTGAAGTGTTTTAGTGATCAGAAGTGCTTTAGTGACTCTTAAGGCTCTTTAGTGACTGAGAGGTTCTCTTAGTGACTGTGAAGCGTTTTAGTATCAGAGGGGTGCTTTTAGTGACTGTGGTAAGTGCTTTAGTGATCGTGGAAGTGCTTTTAGTGACTGTGGGAGGTCTTTTAGTGACTGTGGAGGAAGTTCTTAGTGATCAGAAGTGCTTTTAGTGACGTGAGGTGCTTTAGTGACTGTGAGGTGCTTCTTTGAAAGTGACTGTGAGGTTCTTAGTGACTGTGAAGTGCTTAGTGACTGGTGAGGTGTTTTAGTGATTGTGAAGTGCTTAGTGACTGTGGAGGTGTTTTAGTGACTGTGCAAGTGTTTAGTGACTGTGAAGTGTTTTAGTGGACTGTGAAGTGCTAGTGACTGTGAGGTTTAGTGACTGTGAAGTGCTTAGTGACTGTGTGGAGGTTCTTTAGTGACTGTGAAGTGCTTTTAGTGACTGTGGAGGTGTTTTAGTGACTGCAAGTGCTTTAGGACTGTGAGGTGTTTTTAGTGACTGTGAAGTGCTTTAGTGACTGTGAGGTGTTTTAGGACTGTGAAGTGCTTAGTGATCGTGGAGGTGCTTTAGTGACTGTGAAGTGCTTTTTTAGTGACTGTGAAGTGTTTTATGACTGCAGGTGTTTCTAGTGACTGTGGAAGTGCTTTTAGACTGTGGGAGGTGCTTTAGTGACTGTGAGGTGTTTAGTGATCAGGGAGGTGTTTTAGTGACTGTGAGGTGCTTTAGTGACTGTGTAGCTTAGTAACTGTGGAGGTGTTTAGTGACTGTGAGGTGCTTTCAGTGACTGTGGGAGGTGGCTTAGCACTGTGAGGTGCTTTAGTGACTGTGAAGTGCTTTAGTGACTGTGAGGTGTTTTTAGTGACTGGTGGAGGTGCTTTAGTGACTGTGAAGTGCTGTAGTGACTGTGAGGTGCTTTAGAAAGACTGTGAAGCGCTTTAGTGGACTGTGAAGTGCTTTTAGTGACTGTGAAGTGCTTTTAGTGACTGTAGAAGTGCTTTTAGTAACTGTGAGTAAAGCTAGTGACTGTGAGGTGTTTGAGTGACTTCCAGGTGGCTTTAGTGACTGTGAAGTGCTTTTTATGACTGTGGAGGTGCTTCAGTGACTGTGAGGTGCTTAGTGACTGTGAAGGCTTTGGTGACTGTGGAGGCGTTTAGGCATCGGGAAGTGCTTTTAGTGACTGTGAAGTGCTTTTAGTGACTGTGAAGTGCTTTAGTGATCAGAGGTGCTTTTAGTGACTGTGAGGTGCTTTAGTGACTGTGAGGTGCTTTAGTGACTGGGGAGGTGCTTTAGTGACTGTGAGGTGCTTTTCCTCTTTGTAACAGTGAAGTAAGCAGTGTAATTTTGAAAATGTCTGACAAGAATTTTGCTCACTTTCTTCAAGGCCAAGATGAAGGCTACACCTCCAGTCCCCACTCATGACTCTCCAAAGTCTGTATGGGACTCAGATTGATGTGTCCACTCTACCTTAAGAGTCCTCTTAGCCTCGAAGGGGACATGTGATGACCAGACTTGTTATTATGATGTGGCGAGTGTATATGTGAAGAATTGCTGTACAGTATGTTTTATTTAAACATTATACAGATGGGCTTATAGGAACGGAAACCATACAAATAATGAGGACTCCCTGTAGAGCACTTAATGATTTGGTTGCTTGAAAAAGCATGGATAATTTTGTGGAAAAAAAGAAGAAACTTCCTCATTCATGGAAGCTGTATCATAATTTCAATATTTCAAGAGACATTACCAGTAACTGATAAATTTAGAATAGGTAGCGGAGATAGAATAATTTATATCTAACGCATCATGTGACACAGTTGGGTTTTGGATCCCATGAAAATTAGCCTTCCAGTTTATTTCACCTGATAATTAATCAACAATCACCCAAATGCTATAGGAGAAATATATTTTAAGTTATCATGCCTTTGTCAGAGCTTAAGTTCCATTACAGTTCCTTTTTCTATAAAGTCTCATGTATTGTCTTTTCAGGTATAATGCAGAGAAGAAAAAAGTAGGAATGTATTATTCAACACCCATCTACCAGTTTCGAATGAAGTGTCACCTATGTGACAACCATTTTGAAATCAAGACAGATCCTGCGGTTAGTTTGATTTTGTTTATGTACAAGTCTTTAGGATTTTATAAAAGAATTATACAAAATAAATTTAGTGTTGCTTTTAAGGCAAGCAGCTACCAAACAGGGAGCTACTACTGCCTGGGAAGATATTGGAAGCATAATGTGTTGTCTTATGGTAGACCCTGCTGCCATATGGCATCACAAAAATTGTGACCAAGTTGCTGATCTGACTTTCTGCCTCATTTACACACAATTGCAGGGTTTCAATTGTTTCTCTTACTATTGACATCACAACATTTATATTGTTTTTCACTTTTGGTCTTTTTGTGTTTCTTTGTGGTTCTTTATTATTAGTAGTAGTAGTGTTATTATTTTATTTTATTTAAATTTATATTTTGAATTATATATATATATATATATATATATATATATATATATATATATATATATATATATATATATATATATATATAATTAACCGACTCGGATTAACATTCAATCGAACCCTAAAAAAAAATTAGCAAAATAAGGACCACTTGTACAATAATACTGTATATACTGTACAGTATATATTAATATTAAAAATACCTCTCATTTCAAAATTTTACCAAATATTGCAACATTTGTAACAAAGTGTATTTCATAACAGCAAAACATTATGAATTAAGAGTGACTTCAAATAATGGGAGGACGAATTATGGAGGCTTTACTGTAATACAAAATACAGTAATTAGATGTAGAATTTTATTTGTCAGTAAAATTTAATGACCGGTCAACAAATCGAATATTGCCACAAGGAACAATTTTACCCTGGGCAGAACTACTGTATCATATGCTGGACAGATAGAAACATCATACAGTACAGTTATCATTTATTTGGATAAACTGTACCCATATTTTAATTATTATTTAATTAACTGTTATTTTGCTGCTTGAACATTTTCCTATACAGCACCCAGAATGTATAATCGGTTGCCTGCATCCATGAAGCAGCTGACTTCTGTGGAGGCCATTAAGAAACAACTTAAGACCTTTCTTTTTGTGAAAGCTTATGATCCTGAAGAACTACAGAGTTTAGGAAGTGTTACATCTCAAGGATATATTACCTGTCACTTTTTGTGAAATTTTATGTAGTATTTTTTCTTATTTATTCTCAGGTTCTTGACTTTGTAGTATATTATGGGAGGTAGTGAAGTCTTTGGAAGAACTGGTGCTTTTGAGAAACATAAGACCAGCTATTATTATTATTATTATAATTATATTTCAAATGACAACTTAATAAAATGATAAACAAAGGGACAAAAAAACAATGAGGACTCCATGTATTTGTGAACTAACTTGCTGAGCTCTTAAGTACATATGGTATTTGATACAATGGTGGTGGGTTGGTTACAATGGAACCTACAAGTATACATGTTGAATGGAATAGGATTTTTCATTGCTCAATAAAGTTTTAATGTGGTATAATTAGATGAATATACAGTACTATAACTTTTTTTTCTACAGAATTTAGATTATGAAATAGTAAGTGGTGCAAGACGGCAAGAAAGACGATGGGATCCTACAGAAAATGAGCAAATTGTTCCAGAAGATAAAGAAGTAAGTACTGTATATCAAATCTCAGATCAGTAACACATGCCATCTTACAAATATTTTTCAACCAAGCAGCCAAATGGTTCATCTTTACTTAATGTACCTGATCTCTAATAATACAATCATATACACTTACCATGGCATTGTTTTTCATGACAACCTATCTCCTCACTTCATTACACTATTTATTCATATTTTTCGTAAGTGTTTCATTGACACAAATTAGATCTGGTATGGATACAGCTCATAGTTGACAAAGCCTTTTTTATTTATTTATTTATTTATTTCCACAAGAATTTGTGGCCAGTACTACACTCAACCACTATCACTTTTTGAACTGTGGAGTTAGGTACCCATTCATGGCTAGATGATTTGGGAGCACTGTATCCTTTCAGCCACTGCATCCCTTGAAAAGACATTGAGATGTAATATAAAAGCGAGGTAGTTTTGTTACCAGTGAATCCCTAATCCTGTCATATGATGCTTCAGAAATCTAGTATACTACAGTTCTCACTGCTTTCAGTTTTTAACCCTCTTAAATTTATAAAAAAAATTTCCCATGCTATGACCTTAATTTTGTAAGATAAAAATACCCTAGGTACCCATATTCAAGAGCATTTAGCTTGGTACAAGAATGAGGCTTTTATTTATATATACAGTATTACCTCGCTCTACGCGTTTCTACGTTTATGCGGTACCCCGCCAGACCTGGAATGTTCACTTTACGCGGTGCATCTACTCTTTTACGCGGAGAGCGGCTGGCGGTCATCTCGCGCCGCGCCATTTATGGATTCAAACCTCATGTTGGGTAGCTGGTAGCGGTAGGTTGCGCAGTGTGCATGTCTTTGTTGCGTTATCGGTGATGTCACATGATGTATTGGACTGTGATTGGGCCAACATCCTTACTCCCTCCCGCTAGTTGTGATTAGTTTAATGTAATATGATGAATATGGCGTGCGCGGGCGATGAAGCCGATTGACCTACCCGTCAGTGCACCTGGCTACACGTGTATATCGGTATCCTATTGTTCCATAAGAATGGCTACCACGGACCACCACCACAAAAGAAACCTTGCATTACCTGGACCCAGCCGCCCTAAGCCAAGAAGATCTGGCGTGCCCTGAACTCTGAGAATTAAGTAAGATCATCCAAGAGTTGGAGAAAAGGAACGAACAGGTTGATCTACCATGCGCCAGCATGGTGTGTGAGCGAATCTGATCGGACAATCAAGAAGGATGCAGCCAAGATAAAAGAACACATATGAAGACATCACAAAGTCACACAGGGTGCTTCTATGATCAAGTATTGCCACAACAGGTGCTTCTCAAGGCGGAGAGTACTTGTGAGCTACTTGATTCGTCGAACTGGAAGCGGAATTTATGGCGGTCAACACGCTCCCGTAGTTCAGGAATACCTTACGTGAACGTATGCTGCAGTGTCGCGTAAGATGGGAGTGCAGAGCCAAACCCTTCAATGCTTCCTCTGGGTGGTTGCAGAGGTTTAAGAGAAGAGGAACAAAATCACCAACATTAACATTGGTGAAATTTGAAAAGCTAGTGCTGACTGTGTTGCGGCTAGGGATTTTCCTCCGTTTTTTACGGTGAGATTATGGAGGAAGGACAGTACACCGACGATCAATACCAGCATGGACAGATCGGTCTCTTTTGGAAAAAAGCTACCTTCAAGACGCCGTTGTCAAGACTGCCAGCAGATGTCGTTGCCGGAAGTTGCAGAAGGAAGCGCATCACCGTCCTGTTTACCACCAATGCTCCGGTACCTGTAAGCTCAGTTGCATGAGTGATCCCACACAGCCCCGCCAAGCCGCCGCCCTACAAGAGCATGGACATGACCAAGCTACATGTCCACTGACGGCCGCGCACTTAAGGCGTGGATGTTCTCTCTGTCCCTCTCCTGGTTTGACTGACTGTTTCGTTCCGACTTGAAGAAATTCTGTGAGCAACAGAATGTTCATTCAAGATTTTGTTGCTGCTTGACAGCACCAGGACACTTTCGCCCCTACTGTTGGATCGTCACTAGCGTAAAGTGGGGTCTTCAGCTTCCTCCCAACACTACATCATTAATCCAGCCCATGGACCAAGAATTAATCTGCAGTGTGAAGCTGCATTCTCTGCAAGAAGTTTAAGCTCTGAACGACTATACCAACACCAGGTTGGGATTCTGCGTAACCTGGGTGACACGATAGCAAGCCCGAAGAGGACGAGGAACAACAGTTGGCAGAGCAAAAGTACTTGTGAAACACTTTTTGGAAGAAATTCAACCTCAAGAAAGCTGTGGACTTCTTGGTGGAGGCATGGGATCAACTGTCTGTAGCAATGGTCCCAAGTATGCATGGAGACATGTGTTGCAAAGGTATCCAAGGTGGGAGAGCAGGGAATCAATCTGTGATTGGTGAGGTTCGAACTGTTGCAGTAGCAGTGGACCTTGCCAGAGAAGCTGCGCCAGAGTGTTACAGCTAGTAAGCTACTCGAGGATCACCAATAGCGACATTATGGAGGTGATGGGGATCCTGATGTGACTGCGGCCGGATGTTTAGAGATGATGACGTCAGTGAAAGAGGCGAGCAGTCGCGTCATCCCAAGAAGAATGCAAGTTATAAGCATGGTAATGTAAGGGCTGCCATCTAGTGTGTAGAGAAACTGAAGCTCCTCCTTTCCGGCGACCCTGGCGATAGCGGTATGAAGTCTTCACTACCCAGTTGTTGTAGGCTATGGAGCCCTACATCCAAGGTGTATCACGACAACATCAACACCAGCGTCAACAAAGCATTACGAGTTCTTACGCCCGCCAACCCACCACAGCCAGCCAAGCGAGTGAGTGACAGAGACAGTGATGTGGTGATTTGTCAGGAGGCCTGATAAGTGTGGATGACAGTGATGGTGACTCACCTGAGGGCCAATAGCCTGCCCTCTGCCTCGGAACCAGCCTCCATTCACGTCGCCCGACCCATCTCTTCTGCGCGTAAGTGTTAAACCCTGACACTTAGTTTTTTGAATCTAACCTACCATGACATGTGTGTTAAACCTTGATTTTTCTTTTTACCTGGTACAGTATATTATTCTCTTATTGATATTTCTCTATGATATTATGTGTGTGTGCATACCATCATAAAGTTAAGATGTTATTTTACTAAAACGTACGTATTGTCAGGAAAAAGTGGAGTTTGGGATTGGCTCAGTCTCTATTTCAATTAATCCCATATGTTCTGTTGTTCACTACGGGCCTCCGTGGGTTCAATTGACCGCCTGGCGAGGTATCACTATATATATTTTTTCTTCAAATTTTAAGAGGAGAGTTTTCTTCTTTTACTGTACAGTACTGTGGGTTACTGAAGCCCACCAGTCTCTTTCTTAAATGACTGTACCTTTTCATCTTGATGTTTTCTATGCACTCTTCAGTATGCCCTCATGTTGTATCATCAAATGGTTTATGAACTACTCACTAATGACACTTTCTTTCCGTCTGCTATGTGCACAAGAATATCCCTCAACTTAATCCAATTCATTCATTCTTCCAAAATACAATGTATTTTACCAGTAATATTATATATTTGATTGTCATATATATTTTTGTAATGTATCAAGAAGAATCTTATTCATGTGTGTACCACATGATCCACATAATCTGATATTCCTCCATGAATTTCTTTTCATTTAATGTAAAAATATTGAGCATCCAGAGTATGAAATCCAGCAAAGTATTAATCAAGTGTGGAGCTTAAATTTCATGTTTGAGAACAGTTCATACTCTTTATTGTCAAAATTATATTTACTTGTTCATAATGTTTATATTGGTAATTTGAAAAAATGCTAACATAATGTTTTGTAACTTAAACCTGCAGGTAACTCGGAAGATGGCAGTAGATGCAATGTATAAATTAGAACATGGTGTTAGTGACAAAATAAAACCAAAAGAAACTGATACAGTGCTGGAGCAACTAGAAGAATTTCAAGCAAGTCGTTGGCATGATGATTATGCATCCAACAAAGCTCTTAGGGCAACTATGAGAGTAAGTTTTATAAGATGGTGCATGTTTATTATTCCCATACTATTTCTAGTGAGGGGATAATAACAGAAATATTAATGGGCAAAGTTAAGGGTAGAAGGGCCAAGGGAAGGCAGAGACTAGGATGGATGATTGAAATTAAAAACTGGGTCCCCAGAGATACAAAACCCTAAAGGGTTAGTAAAAGCAGCCGAGAACATACCCAAAGGTATGAGGATGATACTTTGATTGATTAATTGGCTTCTACAGTTTTAAGTGCAGAATCAACATTAATTCTCAATTTGGCATGTGGGGAGGGGGGTCATCATTGTCTTCAATATCAAATATAACGGCATCAATTTCCTCCTGTGGGTGGGAGGCCAACACAACCTCAGGGCAGTTGTCAAAAGCCTCCACAAAGATGATCAACAAATACTGTACTGTACAAAGAACAAAACATTTAAATTGGGCTCATGAGAAATATATTGCAACAATTGTGGGATATGTCGAAAACAGTTTCACCCTTTGTATTGCAACTGTTGTGGGATATGCTGCCATGGGTTAAACATAAAGCTAGCATTTTGTGACATCAGTGCAGCCTTTCTGTAGACATCTGCTTCATTTCAATCCACATTCAATCATAATCATAAGAAAGACAAGGAATATTTAAGAATCAACATTGCATATTTTATAGTGTAAAACTTGTAAAAAAAAAAAAAAAAAAAAATTTTTGTTGTACAGGCAAAACGTGTGGAGGCCCAGGCCCGGGCAGCAAGAGATGCCTTGTATCATATATCGGTTCCCCTTCTTCCAACAAATGAGGATGATGCCAGAACTGCAAAATTACTGCAATTAACTCAGGTATGATCACAAACTTTATTTCTGTTGTCAATTTGTACAGCCTCAGTGAATGATTTAAATTTCGTACAACATTGCTATAAATACCAGATTAAATTTTATTATTGTAGATTTGGTAAATCACACCCAGTCTATGGATTTTCAATCTGTAGTTTGCCAATCTGCAGCCCACTGAATTGAACCATAAACTGCACAAAGGCAATACCTTCCATGGTAAAAAAAAATCAGGAAAATACTAAAATACTAAACATTACTATATAATATGTTGGTATAAAGTATGGTTTACAGTAATAGATAGAGGGGCATTTAAGCTTCATTTATATGTTGTACAGTACTGTACTGTATATTGCAGACTTTTTTATCACTTGGCAGTACAGAGTAAGTTGTCCATTTCATTTATAAAGCATTTTTATTATTTCAGTCAAAGACATCAGATCAAGTACGAGAGGAGAAGAGGGCAATCATAGATGCCCAGTCAGTGTTTGCTAAGCTGAAAACAAAGAAAGTTCCCCAAACAACGAAAAAAGCATTTGCTCGACAATCACTTAAGGGTATTGTCAGTAATTCACAGAAGAACTTAAACAATTTCAAAAATAATATACCAATAGGTCCTCTTAATCTAGGGATTGTGCCAAGGAAGACAAGCCTACAAGACTCTTCAGAGAAATTACCTGATGATTCTGAAGGTGAAAAAGGCACAACAAATACTCAGAGAAGAAATTTACTTTGTATAAATAATATTACCCTAAATTCACCAGATAATTCTTCAAGTATCCCTGAAACAACACCCTCAACATCTGCTAACTTAGATATCATGACCCAAACAGCTGAGCAATGTAATTTTGTATCTACTAATACAGAACATGTAGACAACACATTAAATTCACAAATTTGTCAAAAGTCCCCCCAAGTTTCTGAGAATTCTACTGCAGCTTCTAGTAGTGTTAAGGAAAAGGTGCAGTGTCTTGTAAGTTATGATTTAAGTGCAAGTGACAGTGATGATAGCTTTCAGTAAACTTATTTTGTTATATTCTCCAACAGAATTGGTGCTCCCTGTTCATGTACTGTAGTGAATACTTCATTTGTAAGATGAGACATAAAAAAGTGAGTGTGTGTGTGCGTGCATTTAACTTTTCTCTTACCCCTTTTTTAGACTTTCTATACACCATTATTAAAAAAAGGGGGGGCTACTTTGAAAGCATCAAAAGCAATATAGAGGGAAATGATGGAAACATTTATGAATATTACAGTGGTTAATACTTTATTCAAGACATATTTCTTTCTATATAGACATTATATCTTATTAAGAGATATATAGAACTTAATATAACTATAGCACTAACTATCATGTGCATATACTAGTTTCAGGAGGTTTCAGGAGATTTGTAGACCGCAAGGGTAACTCCACTGTTGCGGTGGATGAGGCATTGGCTGTCATGAAGTGAAAAAGGTAATATAGTATAAGAGCATACAATCATTGTTAATGTTATGATGTGATTTATAATATACAGTTTATATTTAACTTAAACTTATGAGAGTAAGAAATAAAGAAAAAATCCAATGAAATGTACATGTTGTATCCATAATACTTTCCATAAAACTACAACAATTGGTCATCACTCAAAGTGAATGTTACTTATCCTGCACAGTACTGTACTGTATTTGTTTCATACAAAGAAAATATTTGAAAAGACTGTTGAAGGAAACTTATTGAAAAAAATAAAGCAACCTCAATTCAAGAAATCATATCAAATAATAAATAAAATGCCATCACACTTACATCCATAAACATGAAAGAGTGTAGCACTAAGTTGTATGAAATCAGCATTAGATCATAAACATTTTGGCTTTTGCTCTCGCAAGCATTACCATTATGGTTTTACATATTTTACCTTTACTGTATTTGGTTTATGAATCATTGCCATAGTGTCTTATATATTTATATTATATACAGTATATATTATATACTGTATTGTACTTCCTATACAGTATCATACTATATAATTACTGTACTGTATCATGCTGCTTTACATGTGAAAACTGGATGGAAGAAATATTTAAGTATACCTGTACAGTATAGTAGAAATGATGACTCACCTATTGTCAGTTTCCAGCAGTATGACTGGCGGTGGGCTGCCAGGCTCCAACATGGCTGCTCGGTCTGCTAGAGCTGATATCATGCCAGATGATGTAGAGGAGGCTTTTCCCCGAACTGTTTGGTTAAAATAATTAATAACTTTTTAACAAATTCAGTGCACATAATATTTTAAAATTTAATGTACAGTCTGGGTCAAAAGTTTGCTCCTGCCCAAAATGAAGCAGCATCGATCTCAAATGAGATGAAACAGTTAGGGTAAGTCAGTTCGGAGACTCATTTCCATGACTCGGTTTCACCATGGAGAGCGAACTTTTGTCCCAACTGTACTGGTACTGGCATAGTCAAGTAGCTCTGAGTTTCATCTATCCAGCTACTTTTGATGTACTGTACTGTATAAACTTTTGACATACACTTTTTTTTCAGATAAAAAGTAGCTGTTATCTGAATAATCCAGATACAAATGTTGTTTTAAAATCTCTTAAAGCTTTGCCAATTTGTATGCAGATAAAAAGATGCAGAACACACATTGTAGTTTCAAGGGTGCACCTAGTATTGGATAAGCAAGACGCAAGAGTTGAAAGCTCTGTTTCTTGTTGAACTGCATAAAGAATAACAAGACAAAGAAAAAAGAAGAGAACTTATGTTGTAGGTACACTAAGTAGATTATGTAGCTGGCAACTTTGTGAATGCACAGCCAAGGCATTACAATTTACAGCTGGTCTGGGCAGGATGTGGACCATGTGTGGTAGTGGGCAGGGCAGAAGGGGTGGTGGGGAGAGCAGGTGGTGTGTAATGAGTGGTCCCTCGATTAACGAACACAAATGGTTCCAAAGAGTCATTCGTTAACCGAAAATTTTGTTAACTGTATCTATTATTTCAAAGGGATATTGGGTAATAGGTTCCAACTTACAAAAAAAGTACATACAAAGTACAGTACTGTATACCAGTAATAGAATTAACAAAACATTAAATATAAACTAAATACAGTACTGTACTGTACAGTATACTGTACAATAATAAATAAAAAAAACAATAGAATACTGTACTGTATTTTAACTTACTTTGAGGTGTGTATATCGTATTCCCGGCAGCTTTGTTTACATATCAAACAGCTGATTGTAGAGGCAGTCGATAATAACATGCCATATTCTTTACAGAGTGCATTGGTTCTAATACCTTCTTCATGTTTTAAAATAATTTCTGCACTGTATATTATCAATATGTTAACTAAATTTCAAAATGACCAATAATTTTAATATAAAAATGCAAAAATATTCAAGAGACCAACTTTCTTGATATTTACTCCACTGGAAATTAATGTAAATATAGAACTGATTACTGTATTGGCGGACTGGCTGATGCGCACAACAAAACATGTTTGTCGTAAGGCTTTCATTAATCGGACCGAAATTTCGTTAATTGGGTCGTTCGTTAATCGAGGGACCACTGTAATACCAATATTGTTTGGAATGTTTATATACAGGTTGACAATCCCTAATCCGAAATCCGAAATCCTTGGGGTCGGATGTGTTTCGGATTTCAGAATGGTTAGGTTTTTTTTTTTTTGACCAACATTGGGGCCTGGGGAGCGAAAATGTAATAATAATAATAATTCATAGGTCTAGGTCGTGTTTCTCACTTTTGATTTTTTTTCATTCTTGTATTTCTTTATTATCATTATTATTATTTTATTATTATTATTAATTTATTATTATTGTTATTGTTATCATTATTATTTTATTTGTGTATTTTTTGTTATAAATTTTATTTACTATGAATTATTATTATTACAGGTATTATTATTATTATTACATTTTTGTCCCCCAGGCCCCGATGTGCATCAGTGACCTGTGCCCGCATGGGCTAGTCCGTTTAAAAAAAAAAAAAAAAAATCCACTAAAAAACTTTGGGTTTTCGGAATTTCGGATAAAGGGTTGTCAACTACGAAATTTGTAGTATGGGCAGCTAATATCCATTGACTTAGTTTATGTGCGAAGTAATATTTAAATACCCTGTATTCAAAATTGTAATACTGTGTTGCACAATAAAGCTCAAAATAATATTTATTTACGGAGCCGATCAGCCGGATAAGGTTGGACAACTACAGCTGGCTGCCTCTCGCTGGGAAGTTCACCCCAACCAGTGACGTCACAACCAATCACAGAGCTTTTCGCAGTCACGTGACTTTTTAGCAACTTTAGCCCTTAATTTTGACACTGGCCCAATTTATTTTAAAATATCATTACCAAAGTGAATTTAAGCATTTTCTTTACCCATTGACCTGCCATTTTATGAAAAAATTCCGACCGTCAACTCGTGCATTACATCAAAGGCCGGATTGATAGTCATTACGAAGCACAATGCCAATTGATAGTGTTCGTGCTGGTCTATTAATAGTCATCCCGATAAACGAGGTATCGGAAGGGAACCGTACACATATCCCTGAAATGTTGGAAACAATATCGGGTGGCTACCCCCACCCGATAGCTGCCTTACGACAAATAATAATCATCATTATATTTTATGAAAGTTCTTCCAGTACTTTATATTACAGATGTCTACGTCGAATTATATTATTTTTTTTGATAAGAACAATTAAAAGAAGTGTTAATACGGATAAATGAACTTTCACAACACTGTTATGAACTTGAAACATTATTGGAATGTTTACATCACAGCTCCGACTTCGATGACGACTGCTGTCTGTGCTGTGAGCCTCATCTTCAATTAACAATTACTTCTGTTATCATTTAAGGTATGTTTCTTATCTTTATTCATTCATACAATATTTTTGTCGTAGTAGTAATAAAATTTCAACCATCTGAACCACGAAATTCACTTATGTTTTCCGGAATGAGGCAAGTAGGTACTACCGCCTGGGAAGATATTGGAAGCATAATGTGTTGTCTAATGGTAGACCCTGCTGCCATGTGACCAAGTCCCAGGTTGCTGATCTGTCTTTCTGCCTCATTTACACACAATTGCAGGGTCTTAATTGTTTCTCTTACTATTGACAAGACAACATACTGTACATATAGCGTTTCTAACTATTGATTATTATTATTTTTTCTTTATTATCATTATTACAGTGTTGTTATTATTATTATTATTGTTATTATTATTTTATTTTACTTTTAATTATAAATTTTATTTACTATGAATTACTATTATTATTATTAAATTTTCGCCCCCCAGGCCCCGATGTGGGTCATTGACCTGTGCCCAGGTGGGCAAATCCCCTTAAAAAAAAAAGCCAATTGAGCTCACTCTATCTTGGGTTAGCAAAGAAAATATCACAGTTTTTGGTCCAGTAATATAGTTTAGTATAAACGTTAATATTTATTTTCAACAAGATATAAGCTAAGGTTTACGATCTACAATGTCTTGTGTGTGTCAGGCAGAAATATGACGACATAAGTAAGCATTAGATTTCATTTTCTTTATTCTTTAACTTAAATATTTACTGCCACTAATAAAATAAAGAATAAGTACAGCTTACTATCAATACAAATAATTTGCTCTAAAATTCTGCAATACTCGGCTACATCACAGTTTTAATGATACACACAACACCACTCTTTGGTTAAAAAAATCTATTTACTTTTAATTTTTACAATTGATATTTTCAGGCCTTTCTTTTCCTATCATTTCTGGTGTTGCCTGTAGACCTGTCTTCAATGATTGGCCTTTGCTCAATATGGCGCAAAAGTACCATGCGTTGGGTTTCAGACAGAGCTGCAGAACGTTTTCTTACTACCTCCATGTTTGATAACACGCGCGCAAACATTGTTGCCAAGTACTCAGATGAAAAAATTATCTATTTTGTTTCGAACAGATAATAAAGTTCAATTTTATAAAAAAATATATTTTACAATATATAATTGTGCAGGTATAAAATAACAACTAAATATCTCTCTAAATCGTCTTTCTAATTATGTGAAATAATACATTTGGCACACGCGCATGGCCAAAAAAATTTTTGCCATCTGACACGAGCTGCCGTGTTTACACGCTCATGTAAGTGCCTAGGAATATGGCACTCAGCGTTGGGTGGTTGCATCCCGACACACGATCATCGAGATGATGATCGTGATCGTCATTATCGTCGTAATGACTATCAATACGGCCCCAAAAGTCACCGGGCAGGGTGAAACTATGGGCAAGTTTCTTTACACCATTTGCCTTTGTCTACTCCGCAGTAATTGGGATCTGGATGTTAATAGATTTGTGGATCGTGTTCCGGGGTAATGTTTAGCCGGTGCAGTTGGCGAGTTGTCCGGTCTTCTCGGACTATTCCTTGACACTGGGTCATGCAACTCGTTAACTTAGGGTGTAGCTGTTGTGTTGGCGACAGCTTCTACACCTTAAACAAATTCACGCCTAGATGGCCCTTGGGCCAACCATCCTCGTTACACGATGGGGCAACCATTATTATTTTTATGTATACGTACATATATAATAAATACATCTGGACCAAATTCACTACATTACAGAAAAGCTAAAGAGTGGTGACACAGTTAAATGATTCAACTACTAGTATGTACTTTAGTACTTGACAACTTACCTCCAAGACAAAGACCTTGACTGTCAGCACACAGTACCCCAGAAACACCTGCACTGTGCGATCTGAGGAAACAGTAATACCCTTGAAAACTTTATAGGAAAAAATCAAATAATAATAATACCAGTACCTGGGTAATAGTAGTAATATTATTAGCCAGCATTGCTAGGTTTAATCATTTCATCCACTTGCAGTATTTACTGTATTTGCCATTCAAGTAAGTACAGGTACTCTACAGATAAATAATAATTACAGTAATAAAGTAATAATAATAAATTAAAAAAGACTATTGAATAATTACTCTGGCAACAAGCACAGACCAATAAAACCTCCCCACCTAATAATATATGATGGAAGTTTATCATCATTATTATTATTATTATTATTTCAAGTTACTACACTGTATTAGGTTTGTGCGGGAAAAATGCCAGACCATTCATTTGGGGGGAAGGGTAAGGTTCATTTTATGCTCAATGAGAATTCTATTATTGTACAGCCCTAAAATAGTTTTTTCCAGAAGACCAAATCTCCATGTTATTTATCCCTCTTTTAGAGATAATTTCACTAGCATTAGGTTTTTCAGGAATGCAACCTCATTGTTAATTAAGGGATAACTGTATGTCATTAAATATGCATTAGTCCCCAAAAATAAAGGTCATATTCATTTAAATTACAATGAAAAACAGAAGAGAAGGTTAATATTTGGTAGTGACCAAGCATGGAGCTCTATATTTATTTTTATATAAGAAGATTGAGCCGAAAAAAATATATAGTGTTTTCGGTTTTCGTTGAAATTTATATTTTAGAGTTAATTTTACTTCGATTTCATTTAGGAATGTACAAGTTCGCTTAGATATACAGCTGCTCCTCGACTTACGATGGGGTTAGGGACCCAAATCCAGGTCGTAAGTCGAATTGGTCATAAGCGAAAATGCTTAAATAATACATAGAAAATCTAAAATGGGTGTCTCTTTTTCTTCTCAGCACCACAAAACTCTCACTTTTAAGCTTGCCAGCCATTTTAAAGTGACTTACAAACGAAAATTTTGTCGATACACAGAGCAATTACTAATGTTGGGACTCGAAAATACATAATTTGACAAAATTTTGGTCCAACTGGGGGGGTTGTATGTCGAGGAGTAGCTGTACATTGTTTATTTCTTACTCAGCTAATCAGCAAAAGTGTTGTGTCACGCGATACTTATGGGCATGTTTTTTCCTTTCGTGTTGTTGGGCTAGGTTACATTTACACACTGGGAGGTTTAGTTAGGCCCTTCTGGTTTCTCAGGTTAGGATAGACATGTACAGTATACCGATACAAACAATACCTCACTAGATATACCGTATAAGTAGCCTTGTGTTCCTAGCTGGATTTGGTAAAATGCTACTAAGACTACATAGATGGCATGGGCAATCCTTGATGGAGGTTCACGTTGCTTAAACAAAATGAATGAACAGGCTTTGTGTGAAATAAAACAAAGCCTGGGATTGCTCGTTGTCCTTGTGGCGCGGTGGTAGCGATCCTTGCTCACAAGCGGAGGTCCAAAGTTTGATTCCCAACTAGTGATGTATTGTTTGTATATGGAAGTCCGCGTGCTATAGACTGATGAGATATGTACTGTATACTGATATTTGAGTTGTTGGGTTAAGTTCTTGATGATCTTTTTGTTTGGCAAAACTTTAATGCATGTTTTTACCCCACAACTTCCCTCTACTTCAAAGCCATGCCCACTTTGTGAGATCATAATTGTATTTTTTAAAGTGAAATAAAAAAGTCACAAAGGCTAAAAAAATATATATATTGCTGATAAAAATGCAATAAAGTAAAGTAATATATATTTTTCTTTTTTGTCCTATCTACCTTAAAACAAATAATTATTGGGGTCCATGCATGGTTACTACCGAATCATTACCTAAGAAAATTCTATATTAGTAATAGAATTCCCAGTTGAGCATTAAGCAAATCTTTACCCAGTTTTCTTGTGGAAATTTTTTTAAGTGTCTGGATGAACGAAGAAACTTTTCTTCTGTTATAGAATTTTTGCTAGGGATCTCCTTCTAACAGGACACTGATGTAAACTATTTCCTATTTGTTATATAAAAGTCCAAATACACCATGGTAGTTATGCTACAAAAGGAATAAACTAATATTCGTTTTTATTCCAAAAGGTATTTAAGATTTTTTAACATTGCTAGGATTTTTTTTTTTATTATTATAGTTTTGGTCATCCTGGGAATCTTATAAATTTAGATTAGGTATGATATAGTACCTGGGTTCTGTGGCTAGGTTGGTTGTTTGGTTAGGTTAGGAAGGCATGTGTACCTAAATACAGGGATAACCGAAACTTAATTTTACTTTCCTTTTTAGATTGGTTTAGGACAGAAAAATTAAACACCAAAATACACTAGAAAAATAATGGTAAAATTATTGTCTCGGTCATCCACCTCTTTGGAAGTTGTTTAAAACACTAAAAACCACCAGTAAAACATAATTTCAACCAAACTTAACCTAACATAACCTAAACTTAATACCCTAAAATTCGCTGGATGATCGAAAAGATAATACCAGAATAATATCTCTTACTAACTGGGAAATCTTGGGGGAAAATTGGGATTAAAACCAATTTTTTGCCGAACCACTTCTTAGTGACACTTGTTTCATATATGGATGGGGCCAAAATGCAAAACAACCTACAAGTTACTGTATGGCAGTTCAGAAGTTAAAGATATTAAAAAAAAATCACAAACTAAAATTTGACATCAATTGAAGACACGTGATAATGACGCTTAGTGATTAACAAAGCCAAAAATAAATACTGTAACCCAATAAAAGCTTATTTAGCTTACATTGCTATCTCAATCTAAGCTACTGAATTAGTCAACACTACTCACAGTTCGTCCAAACATTTTTCTAGTGGTTTCTCCATTATATGACAACCTACAGTAGTTGAAGAAAACCAGGATCAGCTGAGAGTGGTTGTTGCTGTACACAAACCCTGGAGCTGGGAGTGATCCAGTTGCCAACATCAGAATTTCAAAGTCCTTAGAGTATTTCAACGAGCCCTATGTGTGCATTGTATAGTAAACACTATATATCTACCTTATTTTTTGTATTACTGTACCATATTGTAAACTTACCTCCAATCCGAAAAGTCATATAGATACAGTAGTACAAAAATAAAGAAACGTTGTCCAATGACTGACAGACGGACCAGAGTTGCCAGCTTTTTATATTTTTATACCTAACCTCATCTGGTTTACTCAGTTACTGTAGTGTGTCACGAGATCTGAGGATGTGTGTGTGAACAAGTTGTCTCCCTCAATCAATAATAAGTGGTTATTTGTCGCACTTGTGTGCTTCTGTTCCACTGAAGTGACTTGAGAGAGTCGTTCGTAAACGTCACATTGGCACCTACCATTAGTAAAATATAGTACAACTTTCAAATGATAATACTGGTGCCAGAAGGCTAATTAATAATATTACCTTGTCTCATTGTAACTTGAGAAGTTCCCAGCCGTTTGAGAACCACATTAGACTTGTCTCTGTTAACCTTTATAATTTAAGAGAAAATGTCGATGTATGGTGTAGGTAGGGTGGGAGGGATTCAGGTTGGGTTGTTCCTTCCTACATCGATTAGACAGTTTAATCCAAGCCAGGTATCCCGACAGTCACAGTTACTAACACGTTCTTACTACCTGAGAACCAGTTACTTGTGTGGCTCATCAAGGTGTGCACGAGTCTACCCTACTGTTGTCACCCCCCAAAGGCTGTGTTCAAACATGGTTAGCTATGCTGAAGAGAAGACCAAGTTCACTCCACCTGAAGGTTTGAATACGAAGGTGAGGTTCTACTTTTGTGTTGATTGATTGATTTTATTGGGAATACATTACATTTAATGGTAATTATTTACTTCACAGCCGCACTTTCACCGTGTTTTATAGTGGACACTTTATTTATGGCAAATGTATTAAAAAGTTTATTTAAAGGCTGTGGATATTTTGCCATGACTGGCTAAGTTCCTATTAATGCTATTTTACCGTGAGTGTCCTCTAATTGGTTAATCGTCCATTACCGGCGAACAACGCAAGAGCTATATTCGACCGTGAATGGAGGTATTTAGCATTTATGTAGCTGTTGTGCATGGAAACTTATCATTATATTAGAGGCGACATTTACTAGAACGAAATAGAAACTGACCAAACCAACCAAAGAGACCTACCTTACCTGGGTCCGACTAATTACCCAAATGTACCCAAATGTAGCCGCAATGAAGTCAAATGATGGTCCTACATGAATAAATCGGACTGCCAATCACTTCTCGACTAGTATTTGGTGTCACGAAGTCACAAAAAATTGGTAAACTTAATTTAATTTGAGTTAATAGATCGCGTGCATGTTCCGAGGGAGCGAGTAATTACCCAAATGTAGCCGCAGTGAAGTCAAATGATGGTCCTACATGAATTAATCGGACTGCCAATCACTTCTCGACTAGTATTTGGTGTCACGAAGTCACAAAAAGTTGGTAAACTTAATTTAATCTTGAGCTAATAGATCGAGTGCATGTACCTAACCTAACCTAACCTAACACAACTCAGATTAAATTAAGTTTACCAATTTTTTGTGACTTTATGACACCAAATAATAATCGAGAAGTGATTCACAGCCCGATTTAGGCTTGTATGACCATCATTTGACTTCATTGTGGCTACATTTGGGTAATTACTCGCTCCCTCGGTACATGCACGCGATCTATTAACTCGGATTAAATTAAGTTTTCCAATTTTTTTTTGACTTTGTGACACCAAATACTAGTCGAGAAGTGATTGGCAGTCCGATTTATTCATGTAGGACCATTATTTGACTTAATTGCGGCTACATTTGGGTAATTAGTCAGACCGGAAGGGAAGGCTACTCTGAACCTGGAGAAATTAAGTGAAGAGAGCAACCATGGCTGGCATCAGTGGATACATCAGATGAGTGGGGAAGTATGATGCAGACAAGGAAGATTTCACATCATATTGTGAGAGAATGGACTTCTTCTTTCTGGCAAATGAATTAATGGACAACGGTGGTGATGCTGAGAAGAAAAAAGTCCTTGAAGAGAAAAGGAAAGCAATCTTTTTGACAGAGGTAGGAGCTAATGTTTATTCTACTCTGGTCAATCTGCTTACTCCAGACAAACCCAAAGACTCCTCACTGATTCAGATTATCAAGATTCTGAAGCAACATTTTGATCCTGCTCCACTTGAGATCGCTGAAAGTTACAGATTTGGCACCAGAGATAGAGGTAAAGATGAATCAGTAAGTAATTATATAGTAGCTTTGAAGAAGTTATCCATTCACTGTAACTTTGGACAGTTCCTGAACCGAGCTCTAAGAGACAGGTTTGTAATAGGCCTGAATTATGAAAAATACAGAATAAGTTAATGAACACCACTAACTTAACTTTTGAAAGTGCATGTCAGATAGCTACAAGCATGGAATTGGCCGAGAAAAACACCAGAGAATTTGTTCCCAATTCTGGTAGTGAAACCGTTAGCAGTAGTGGCTCAATGTGTAAAGTAACTGTAGCTAAAAGGAATAAGTATACCACAAAACAAGGAACACATGCTGATTTAAAATGTAAGAGGTGCCGAGGGAAACATGAAAGCTTTCAGTGTAAGTTCAAGAATTCAAAATGTTACAATTGTCAACTTATTGGACATATTGCTCCTGCTTGTAGAAGTGATAAAGGTAGAGTATATGCCATTGAAGGTGGAGAGAAGGAAATGAAAAACAGTATTCATGAGAGTATTAGTAATTTTGGATCTGATAATGATGAGAGTGCCCATGTGTTTACTATTTACACCAGTCGTGAAAAGAAAATTAAACATAGGTATAATGTGGACTTGTGTATTAATGACACACCTGTAACCATGGAAATGGATACTGAAGCTGATTTTCTCCATAATGAGTAAAGATATGTATGAGAAACTATTTGTGCATGTGCCTTTAGAAGACTCAGGTGTCAAGTTGAGAACTTATACTGGAGAGATTTTGAACACAGAAGGTAAATTAGAGTGTGAGGTAAAGTACAAAAATCAGAATTTAAAGTTGCCATTAATTATAGCTAGTTATGTGAATAGACCAACTTTGTTAGGTAAGAACTGGTTGTGTGAACTTGAGATGGACTGGAAGGAGATATTTAGTGTTAGAAAGTGTAACAGTATTCCAGGTCTTGAGAAATTGCTTGAAAAATACAAGATTTTATTTGTAAAGGGACAGGATGGTATAAAGGGTTATGAAGCTCATATCACCATTGACAAAGATGTTATACCCATATATGCTAAGTCCAGACCTGTTTCTTATGCATTGAAAGGTGAGGTTGAGAAGGAATTAGACAGACTTGTGAGTGAGGGAATTATTGTGAAAATCGCCAAGAGCAATTGGGCTGCTCCAATAGTAATTGTACCTAAAGCTGATAAATCTGTTAGACTATGTGGTGATTATAAAGTTACCATTAATCAAGCTGTTGAGGATGAGCAATATCCCTTACCCACATCTCAAGATTTGTTTGCTGCACTAACAGGTGGAACCATTTTCACTAAGTTAGACTTGTCCCAAGCATATGCTCAGGTCTCTGTTGATGCTGAAAGTCAACAGTACCTTACCATCAACACTCATAAAGGATTATATAAGTTCAAAAGGTTGCCTTATGGTGTTAAAAGTGCACCAAAGTTATTTCAGTGCATCATGGACAAAATTCTTGTGGGTCTTCCCAATGTGTTATGTTTTCAGGATGATGTCCTTATTGTTGACAGTGACATCCAAAATCATGTCAAACCCCTAGCCACAGTATTCGAAAGATTGTTGGCACACAATGTCAGGCTCAACAAGAGCAAATGTTCATTCCTAGCTTAAGAAGTAACTTATCTTGGCTACAAAGTGAATGCAGAAGGGCTGAGACCTGTAGAAGATAAAGTAGGAGCCATAGTAAATTTACCTGCTCCAAAAAATGTCAGTGAATTGAAAGCTTTCCTAGGTATGATACAGTATTATTCAAGGTTCTTGAGTGGACTTTCATCAGTTTTAGCCCCTCTGCATGAACTATTAAAGAAAGGGATACCATGGAAATGGAACAGTGTAACTCAGGAGTCATTTGAAGATTGTAAAGCTGCTCTGTCTAGCACTGATGTTTTGGTCCACTATGATACCAGTAGAACACTAAAGCTTGCTTGTGATGCATCGGGCTATGGATTAGGTGCAGTCATAAGTCACATAATGGATAACGGTGAAGAAAGACCCATTGCATATGCCTCGAGAACTCTTACCCAAAGCGAGAAAAATTATGCACAAATAGAGAAAAAGGCTTTGTCTATCATATTTGGAGTAAAGAAATTTCACCAGTATCTATATGGGAGGAATTTTGTTTTAATAACTGATCACAAGCCTCTCTTGGCAATTTTGGGTCCTAAATCACCTGTTCCTACACTTGCTGCAGCAAGAATGCAGAGATGGGCTTTGATATTGTCGGCATATGACTATGAGATACAGTACAGACGTTCAGATGATCATTCCAAAGCAGATGCTTTGTCAAGGTTGCCATGTAGTGGATCAAATGATGGAGTAGAGCCTAAGGTTTATGCTGTAACCATGATAGCAGAAGATTTTCCAGTCACCTCCGGAATGATTGCTCATGAAACTAGGAAAGATGTTGTATTAGGAAGAGTCCTGGAGTATACACTAAATGGATGGCCGGAGATTTGTCCATCCTTAGACTTTCAACCGTATCATTTAAGGAGATGTCAATTGTCAGTAGAACAGGGATGTATGTTGTGGGGTATGAGAGTGTTAATTCCACAGTGTTTTAGAGGGCAAATTTTGAATGAACTGCATTTTGAACATCCAGGTATATGTGTTATGAAAGCACGGGCCAGAGGTTTTGTGTGGTGGCCTAAACTGGATGTTGAAATAGAAATGATGGTACGTGAGTGCTCTGTTTGTCAGAACGTTAGGAGTATGCCACCCAGCACACCTTTGAAAACCTGGAAATGGCCTACCCATCCCTTCCAAAGAGTACACATTGACTTCTGTGATAAGGGAGCAGACAAATTTCTTGTATTAATTGATAGTCATTGGAAGTGGATTTATGTTAAGCACATGTACAGTACTAATGCTGGTAGCACCATTGATGAATTAAGATTAATATTTGCCGAACATGGAATACCAGAAGAGGTAGTTTCTGACAATGGTCCTCCATTCCAATCATCAGAGTTTAAAAACTTCATGAGATTCAACGGTGTAAAGCATGTACTGACCCCACCCTATCATCCTGCCTCTAATGGTGCAGGTGAGAGATCAGTTAGAATTGTAAAGGAAGCACTTTCCAAGCAGGTAATTCAAGGAACTGTAGGAAAATCAATGAAACACAGACTAGCAAATTTCTTACTCAGATACAGAACCACGCCACATAGTGTGACAGGATGTACTCCTGCAGAGTTAATGGTGAAGAGACAGTTGAGAACAAGATTAAGTTTAGTTAAGCCAAGTCTGTTTGAAGTTGTAGAGAGGAAACAAGCTCAACAAAAGATGTATCATGATAAGAGTTCCAGTGAAAGAGTGTTCAAGGTAAATGATAGGGTGAGAGTTAGGAATATGGCTAAAGGTTATGGTACTGTACATGCAAAGTGGATAACTGGTGTCATTGACAAGGTATGTGGATCTAGGACATATTTAGTGAAATGTGGTAACTCTTTGAGATATGTTCATGTGGATCACATCATTCAGGCACATGACGAGATGAATGTAGCACCAGGACATGATGATAAACTTGACACAGTTTCAGATGATGATCATCATC